TGTGCAATATCTCTAAAATGAGAAACATCTTGTCTCGGATGGTTAAAATGCATTAAAATGTGTTGATGATGCACAATCATCCAGGTAAGTAAACCAAAAAAGTTGATTCAGTTCATCTGGACGTAGCGTTTTCAGTGGAAGAAACATTTCGTCAGTCATCCAAGTGACTTCTGTAGTCTCTGCTGACTGGAGGTTTGCCCAATTGTATAAACAGTACATTTGCAAAATGACTGAACCTAACACCATTGATGAACAATGGGCTGTGAGGTCAGATCGTTGACATGCAAATTGTCATGTGAAAATAAACAACAGATTCCTTATAAGGCTATCACACAAACTTAAAAGTGGAGGATAAGAGATCCTGTGTTTATATCTGACTTTACGTGCTTAAAAGCTGCCAACAAAAGTGTTTGTTGCAATTTTAAGGAGCTTTACTTCTGCAAATATTCTACTAAAGTTATTTAGAATCGAATCATCTAAGTTAATAACCAACCCAACACAATTTCTCTATCTTTCTCCACCTCTGCAGCCCCTGAGGTCATCAGCTGCCAGCCTCTGAGTACAGCAGCAGATATGTGGTAAGCATTCAGCTCCAGCGTGTTCAGGCCTGTCGTGAGCATTACACTCTGCACAATATTTGAGTTGGTCACAGCAGAATAAACACAATTATACAGGGTTTAAACAAAACTGAATCACTGTGTTTTTCTTACATGTTGTCATACAGTAGAGTTTTTTTTGTTTTTAATTTACGCTTCATGTCTGCCTGTGCCTTGTTTCATGTTTCTTCAGGAGCATTGGAGTTATTACCTACATATTGTAAGTTGTAAGTGTTTGTATGTTGGGTGGCTTCTAAAGTACATAATTTATGGATTGTATACAAACATCTTTTGATTGTATTTGGGCCTTTAAAAGTAAAGGTAAACTTTTTCAGTTATACTAGATGGGAAATTGAAGAAAAAAAAAGAAAGAAAGAAGGAAAAGAAAACTATTAATGTGTTTTAATGCTCAGATGAAGATGTCAGATGTTGACATGTTGTAGTTTCACTACTAAAGTGTATTGTCTTTTCTCAGATTGAGTGGTTTGTCACCATTCCAAGGCGACACTGATGAAGAGACTCTGGGAAATGTCATTGGCATGAAATACGAGTTTAATGAGCATTACTTCAGCCTGACAAGCCCCATGGCGAAAGATTTCATCCAGAAACTGTTGATGAAGAATCCAGAGTATGTCATAAAATACAATATTTTACTTGGGCACATTAGTCTGAAATTTAATGTATTCCTCTGTTCAGTGATTAGGGATGTAATAGTGAACATCAAGATTAGGACTTCATGTCAACTAGTCCCTTCACACTAAGCACCAGGTATCCAGAGTCTAAATGTGGCTGTCCAGCTCGTTGGTGTGCACTGTACACCAACTAATGAGACACAGAATGACAAACGGAACAACGTTTGTCAGAAAGATTGGTGAAAATTTTCTTTAAGCAAACATCCCGGTGTACTTAAGACCCAGCCACACTGTCAGACAAAAACTGGTTCATCCTAAGGACAAAACTCCAAAACACAAACTAAACAACGTAGTGCATGCTGTGCAGTGCAGTAAGGAGTGCTCAGACCTCTACATTGGTGAAACCAAACAGCCCATCCATAAACACATGGCACAACATAGAAGAGCCACCTCGACAGTGCAAGGCCTATCTCTCCACCTAAAAGATAAAGATCACTCTTTCCAGGATGCCAATGTTTACAGTTTGGATGCAGAAGACAGATGGTTTTAAAGAGGAGTAAAAGTAATTTTACATTTTTATGACAAGACAAATGCATTCATCTACCAAAGGTCATGTGAAATACACTTAAATCATTGTTATCTTAATATTCTTTAGTTTGTTTGACAGCATCCAAAAATCATGGAATGTTCTGCCAAACTTTGTTTTCCTGCTACTTTAGTTTAGTAGTTTAGGTTGTAGCAAAAATGCTTAAGGATTATTACAATATATTAACTAATAGTCCTTTTCCATTAGTACCTACTCGGATTAGATTGGCGTGACTTAGATTTTTTTTTTGGGGTACCTGGTACCGGGTACATTATTAGTACCTACCTAAGTGATCAAGGCAATCCGAAAATGTGACGTCAACAGACTGCATTGGCTAGTCAGTATGGTCACTCTATGAGTCATGCGAGCATCTCGTTTACATAAATCAAAACCGCCGTTTTTGAAACCCGGCAACGAGAGAAATGGCCTGATAAAAAGCCATACATCGAGCAGTAGGTACCGTTGCCTCCATGTCCTCTGTTCATGTTGCATACAAATAACGTCATGGGATGTTCGGCCGTGTTGTACCTCATGCCATTAGGTGAGGTTGTTAGTAATTTAAAACGGATCAATCTGAGTAGGTACTAAAGGAAAAGGACTATAAAAATAAATAATGATCTCTCATCATTCCTTACACGTCAATGCATATTGCAGAGACAGAATGACAGCTGAGGAGTGTCTGCTTCATCCATGGATTAAGGTTAGCGCCAGTCTGTCATTTCTTCTGCACTACTTTTGTTGTTGTGTTACCGTGTTGTCAGCCATACATGTTGTCATTGTTTCAGCCCATCACACCTAAACAGGTTGCCAAAAGAAATCGATCCTCAATTAATATGAAGAACTTTAAGAAGTTCAATGCCCGAAGGAAGTGGAAGGTGAGTCTGGATATTTATGTTAAGAGACATTTTAAAGCATATTTTTGTGCGTTAGACCAGCAGTAAAACCAAATTAATCCATGTATCCAGTTTTAAAGTTCTGTAGCTGGTGTGGGCGAAGTTAGGATAGCCACCTTTAGCTCTCTCCGAGCAGATTGTAACAAGCAGCCAGGAAAACAGACTGGGTGGGTTACCGTGAGGAGAAAGCGTAGTCCTAAACAGAAGGCCAGGGTACACTACCAACCTGTTCACGTCTCTAACAGTTTTTGCCCACTCTGGGACACATCCACCGAGAAGAATTCTCTGGTTCCTGGCGATACTGTTTTGAGACATGTGAAGTTAGAGACACAAGCAACCATAAGGAATTGTCTTCCAGAGGCCATTCATTGTTATCAGGATGTTCTAAAATCTAAAACAAAATCTTATTGTCCAGGACCTCTGCTACTCCTAGCGTACCCTCACTATATATTTGTGTGCATTAGCCCTGTCTGGCACCCTCCCTAGCAATGGTTAAATCCTTATGTAATAAAGAGGACATATGTTGTACCGTAAAATACTCCATCATGGTTACATGTTACGAAAAAGTATTAAAAAAATACCACTTACGAGGACATTATTCTGCTACTTTTGTATCGAAATTTAAAACGAATGAATCAGGTAATTCTTTGTTTTTATATTCATCAGGTCCCAATCAGCCCAAATAGCAAAGAGAAATTAAAAATGCCATGAAAGAGTTTGGGTCTTAGGAGGTTAAAGTTCACATAATGGGTTAAAAATGAACGTTTCCTTAGAAGATACTGAGCTGATGTTATTTGTGATGGATGTAAAACATTCTTCCCTGTCACCTTCTAGATGTCTTACAATATGGTGTCGGCATGTAATCGGCTCGTAAATTTGAGACTGCCACGTAAAGACACCCTGAGTCCAGATCCACTACAGGTGAGACATATTTAACTGAAAAGTGGAGTTAAATTAAATGGAGAATCTAAATGTGAGTGCGAGTGGTTGTCTGTCTCTATGTTAGTCCTGTGTCAGGCTGGTGACCCGTCCAGCTGTTACCCTGCCTCTCACACTTGGGTGAAGTAATGAACTTTAAAGCTGCTCAGATGTCATCAGTGTGTGTATGGTACTGTTGAATTACTGTATTTTTCGGACTATAAGGCGCAATATCAATGAACGGGTGTATTTTCATACATAAGGCTAATAAAGCGAAACAAAACTGTCAGATAAGTCAAACTTTATTCAACTCATTCACAATAACTCTCAACATTGTTCAGTTGTAACAATAAAATACAGAACAATACACTTTCAGTTCATTCCTCTTCCTCAAATTCTTCATCTTCAGGGTCTGAGTTTAACAGTTGGGTGATTTTGGCCCGTAAGCACGTCTCATGGGGTCCTTATACACACACCATAATGTTACATTGAAGCAGAGTACGTATGACTCCGCGAGGCTCCTGACTACGGTAGCCGTAATGCTCCAACAAGCGGTGCAGCTGTATAGCTTAGCAAAGTCGTACTAAAACATTTTGACAGATTTGTGAGCGTCGTGTACCACGTAAAGATGTTTCAAGGTCAGTAAGCACAACCAGAGTGTCGATTTCTGAGAAAATTAAAGGATTTTAAGTGTGCCTTATAGTCCGAAAAATACGGTAAGTACTTTATGAATAGGTGTATGTGGCTGTTATTGTTAAGTGCTTCGACGTATTGATAATGTGCATGAATACATTTCTGAGTTACAAAAGGTGGGAGTAGAAAATGTTAATACGTGGATGGAGTCAAAGAAATAACAAAGACTGTTTTAGAAGTGTAACGTCAGAGTTGAAGTTGGGTACATGTTCAAATGATATAATTCAAATCTGCAATACAAGCTTCATGAGGCACAGTCACGTAGATTTGTAAGTGAAAAGTGCTGACAGCTGTAATGATGCTTTTCTGCAGCGGCAATGTGAAAGCGACGTAGAGGACACTGAGAGCAAGCCGGCCTCGCTGCTACGGCGAAGACTCAGCAGCAGTTCATAGAGTTGAGCAGAGGAATGCGGAGCAGTCCAAGCTGAAGCTGAGGCTCCCTGAAACCAAATGATTTCTGTTACCTTGTTCGAGTGTAATGGGTGACCTAATGTTGTTACACACTCGACATTTCAGAAGTGCCTGGAACAGAAGCGTGTCCTCATTTGAAGTGTGTTTCTTTACGAAAGACATTTAAAAAAAAATCAGTTGGAAACTTTGGGTGGGCTGTGTAATAATGTCTTCAATGATGCTTTATCAGCTGTAATGTATGTGGATGGTTACGGTTTTTGAAATGTCTCTGATAACAAAATGTGGCCAGAAAAGCTTTTTTCTGTGCAGAGCAACCTCAAACTCATGTTATACCCGTGTCTTCCACGCCTTTTTCAATGACGGTAATGCTTCATGTCATCAGCCAAATGGAAATGCTCGGCCTGTTTTTAATGTTACCAAGTGATGTCCAACAACTATAGACTACAACATGACTTATACCTGATTTTGGACAGCTCATGGCAGCGCTGGCAAACACAAATACCAATGTTTTCATTACCTGTTTGTTTATGTTGAAACTGCTTCGCTAGTGTTAGGAAAGCTTCCCCGTGTCTTTTCTAAAAGACTGCTTCACATAATTAACAAAAATGTGAAAGTTAGAGTTTTTCCTGTTTTAGCAACTGCCTCCATTTTTCCGGCCGTTATATCAGTTTTACACTCGCTCATAAACAGCTGTTGTTTTTACAGTTTTCAAAGTAACCACTACTGTCATTTTCATGTTTGTGTAAGGCTGAAAACATTGGAAGGTTTTTAAAAATGTAATTTCTTACATCTCACCAACTACAACTACCCGAGATGAACAGACTTCAATCTACTGCTATCATTGTTAGGTTGTAAGTGTTTAAGATTTTGTACTGCAGATGAAAATATACAATCATACTCTGTTCTTAATAACTTATAAGCACTGCATTACTTCTCTTGTGATGTATCATTTTGAAATGGCTTAATCATACACGTGCATGTCATTACATACAACAATTTGTATTTTTAATGTCATTAAATGTCTGTTTAATGACATGTCTGCTGGCTTCATCCGAGACTTGAACAATTAGTATTTTTAAATACTGCCAAATTTCTCACTTTGTCTTTTTCTCAGCTGTGTGCCTATTTAGGAACTTTCTTTTAGCTGCTGACGTTACCATTAATACCGTTTCATGACAGTAATGAGCTATATTTGGCTATGTGACCCTGTCGCACTTCTTTTAACTAAGAATCAGGAAGTTGTCTTCTTCTGCGACGTTGTGTTTACAGACAGCATTTTAATTCTTTTTTCTTTTCTGGGTGTAAATGTGACAGGGCTCGGTGCTGGTTCAAACTGTATAAGCTGCTTCAAGCATTATTTGTGAAGAGTCACATTAAATTACTAAAAACATTAACTAATAATGCTGAGATGTATTATTTTAACAAGCCTTAATTATTTTCTAAATAACTGAAAGGAATTAAAATTGAATTCATACTGAATTTACTGATGCATAACCAGAGACCCAGAAGAATTAGTTTTTAGATAAGTAAGAAAAACAATCTTCCCCAAAATTGTTTATTTCTTTCTAAATCTTCTTTCTCTTAAAATGGGCACCAGGTCTTATTTTATCATAAAGTGATAAGATGGCTGAGTGAGACAGAAACACATTTTACTCAGAACTGTGGAAGTGAAATCAGGAGGTGACGTGGGGGAGGACTGTACCAGAATATACGGGTAAAGTAAGTACAGAACATGTCACCAAAGGGGGGAAGAAACGTTTTGAACACGCTTACTGAAATGAATTTAATATTTGGTACAAAAGTCTTTGTTGACCGCGTCTAAACACCTACTGTGTGGAGAAACTAGTCAGATGCTCAGGTGTGATTTTAGCCCGTTCTTTGTGGAAGAATGGGCTAAAATCACACTTCTTCTTCTATGAACTATGAGTTTTAGTTCTTTCCATAGATGTTCATTTGGATTGAGGTCAGTTGATTGGCTGGGTCATTCCAGGAGCTTTATTTTCTTATTCTGAAACCAATGGAGAGTTTCCTTGGCTGTGTTTGGGATCATCCACCCTTATTTCATCTTCATCATTCTGGCTGCAGAATTTTGCTGATTTTTCTTCCTTCACTTCCAAACCATGAAGTTCCCACCTCCATTGGTAGGGTGTTTTTTGGGGTGATTTGCAGTGACATGGTGGGTATTATGCCATCCAAGGAGTTCCATTTTGGTTTCATCTGACCAGTTGATATTCTCCCAGTATCTCCCAGGCTTGCGAACCGGCCATGGTAGTTGAGTGCGTGACATACTGTTTGCTTTGAAACATTCGTGCCTGTTGAGGTCTTTCTGTAGCTCTCCCCAGGTGGTCCTTGGACAACTCTGATTATTAGTTTCATTCCTCTGTCTGAAACCTTGCAGGGAGCACCTGGTCGTGGGCGATTTCTGGTGAAATTGTTTTTTCCACTTCCAGATTATGGCCCCAGTATTAATGTGACACACTGTACTGTACTCTACTGTATGTGTTGAGAAATCCAGGAAGTCTTTTATGAAGCACTTCTTGAGGTCGAGTGAAATTACTGATGACGTTTCAGAAAGGGTGCTGGTGTGATTTATGACCATGTAAAGCAACAATGGATTCCTGCAAAATGTGCATATTAGAGTTAGTTTCACCTGTGATACAGAGGAACTTGCTTTTATGGAAACTGCTGAAAGGAGAAGGGTTTCCTACCGTATGACAACACTGTCAACTCATCTCTCTCAATACAACATCATGTGATCTATGGGAATCACTAGGCAGAGGTGCATATAGCCAAGCCTATGCAGGCTTGCTGTGTGATACTCGTGCTTCTCAGCATGTGAGTTAATTTAACTGAAAAGGTTCCCATCTAGATCCTGTCATACCTTAAAACTTCAGATCCCTGCATTAAAAGGTTCTTCATATTATGGATGGTACGAGCAATCGGTCACACTGTCCCTCCTCAAGCTCCTTTAAAGTTGATATGTGCTCCTCTGAGTTTTCTCTGAGTGACTCTGCTTCCACAGTTCTGCTTCCTGAAGTGTAGACAATGGTTGAAAGTGTGAGGTAGAAAACCCTGCTGCTACAAAGGACAGTGAATAAAAGTTTTGTTCTGGAAGGGATAAAATTCCTGTGCATTTCTGAAATCCTACAAAATCAATGTTAAGACTCTCAAACTGAAGAAATATTATAATTTATAATTGTGGCATCAATAGAAAGCCCAGGAGCGCAGCAGGAGTCATATCAATTGCATAAATTGCTGTTGGAAAATAATAATATGATATAATGTGTATGAGAAATGTATTTTACACAATACATGGGAGCACACACTCGTGTGTGTTTGTATTTAGAGCCCATTGAAAAGACAAACATGACAAACATGTGACACTGATCCTCTATAATAAGGCACATTTAATCTTTTAACACTTAAGAAAAAAATAAAATAGCCCTTTATTGTTATTATATATAATAACAATAAAGGGCTATTCAGAAAGAAATTGTCGGTGCTCCACACTGACTGTGCTGGATTCAAGCAAAACACAGAATTCAGAACAGAGGGCGAGAAGATAGGACAGAGAGAAAGAATACCAGATGGAATAGATCAGTGGTTCTCAAATTTTTCACAATAAGTACCACCTCGTAAAATATATGGCTCTTAACCCTTATGACCAACATTAAAGTACAGTAGTATAGGCCTATTTAACACCACATACAGTTTACACAAGAAAACTTTGTTATATGAATGTTATTTATTTAAACTGTCATAAACAGGATGCGACAAGTGATAATAACACCAAGTGTACTGCATTAAAACATTCACAGCAGGTAGGATATCCGGTCTTCAAGTGATGATGTGATAAACCCTGCTTCCTGTTTTTAACACGTTTTAATCTTGTTCTATTTAATCTCAACAAGCCCCTAAAGAAAGTCAGTGATCACTGTCGGCCTCTCTCAGTTTTTATTACAACTATTACAACCATGCAGCAGTATATTAACGACTAACCTGGTATTGTGGATGGATTTTCTCAGTTGTTCTCCTGACTGAAGTTTGGTCTGTTTACAGCATCCTGCCATGCGATTACATTTGTCTCTAACCATCGGGAACCCTCACGTTAACTTTTATCCAGTGGAAAAAAGTTAGCGTTCATTGTCCAGCCTCACTGTTTTTGTGTTATGCTAACCATGGCTGTGTAGCTAGCCACCACGTAGCCCATCATTATAGCTGTGTCCCAAAACGTAGGCTGCATCCTTTGGAGGCCGCATTTGTAGACCAATTACGTCACAGCAGTGAGACAAAGGCTGTCCCAATTCGTAGACTCCTCCAAATGCGTCCTCCTTTTCCCCAGATTTGAATGATGGGTCGGGCATATACTTTGTGGTCCACCATATCCCAGGATTCATAGCGCGGCCCAGCCAATTCCAGTTTCCAACAATGGCGGCAGCTGCTTAGTTTTAATATTACTCTTATTACGCTTTCTGGGACACAAAATAAACTTTGAAGATATTTTCAGGCGAGAATGTAGCTGTGCAAACTTCAAATATCTGCTCAGTTTAAATATCTGCTTGGTTTATCAAGACATCACATATTTGCAAAAGTGCTCCGATGTTTTCAGAGACATCTGTCACCCACCAGCTCGATAGCTAGCTGGGGGTTCAAGGGTCACTAGAGCCGGTGAGAACAGCGGACTCCCAGCTTCATCGTTTTCAGACCCCCCTGGTCTTTCGCTACTCAGGTTAAACATGATATATAAGTCACTCAGATAACTTTTGGTTGGTTTTATTTGTTCCGGAGTAAATCGGTTCGACTGAGATCACATTTATTAGATTATTAGAATAAATAAAACTTTATTAATCCCTCGGGTGGGTTCCTCCGGGGTTTTTATACAGCTGAATAAACGTCAAACGTCAAACTGATTAAACAGAAGTTTGAGATGGTCGAGAATTTATGGCAGTGTCCTGTTATATTTTAGATAGCAAGGATCAAGCGGCTGACTTTATTAAACTCCACGGAGACGGCGGTGACACAAATCTGAAGGCTAGACCGTCCCATTTCTTTCTTTTTTCTTTTTTTTGTGTCCCGTTTGGATATTTAGCCGTCAGAATTGTTGTCTGAAGGCCAAGAAAGATGCCAAGTGGATTTATTTTACCAATTGGATCATCATGGCCTTGCCATATTGGTCCATTTGATTGACCTTTATTATAATTATGTATTTATATTATTTGATTTTCGGTTGTTACAGACGGGACAGACATGACTGGGGGATAGGACAGGGAGAAAGAATGAAAGAGAGGGAGAGAAAGAAAAACAGAGGGGAGAAGAGACGGTGAGAAAGGGGGGAAGAAAAAAAAAGACAAACAAACAAAACAGCTGGATCACCTGTATGGAGATAAGAAAAAACAGAAGAGAAAACAAACAAGAAAGAGCAACATAATAAATACAACATCATCACAATAAACTAGCTAACAGTAGATAACAGTAGATACTAAATATTACATGGTATACAGATTTACAGCGCACAGTGTGCTTTGAGGCAGCAGCCAAGAAAGTTTCACAGCCTCGCACCAGCCTTCTTGGTCTTTGAAGGACCCGGCTGATGTAGACTGCAAAGGCCGGATCCTCTGAAGGATGCAGCCTAGGTTTTGGGACACAGCTTATATACCAGCTAGCCCAACTTCAGTAACCCTACAAACATCACTGCTGTTTAGTTTTCTGTCTTCATTTATGTTGGAAGTGATATCAGA